TTCCTTTCCAATCTTCTTATCCTCCTCTAGTATTACCCCATATGTAAACAGTAATCGTTTATGTAATAGTGCTTAATTAACTTGTGAGCTATCCATTCTGGTATGTAGTTATCATAACTATCAGTTAAGACAACAGCATCACTGTTCAGTGCATTCCTTGAGAATAATCTAATAGGTCAAATCCTATCTATCGCTGAACTCTTCCATTATTTCATCACAGATATTGATAATATCTTGCAAGCTCTTAGCTTTTAACACTCTTTCATATGTTCTGATACTTCCCATTCCCCTGATATCGGATTGTGGTACTCTTTTATATTTATCAATATATGACATCAAGTGATTGAAGTCCTCACCTTTGCGTTTAGCTAGTTGTTGTATTTGAACAGCATCAGCATAAGGTCTAATATACTCACAAGTAATGTTCTCATCTATATTCTTCTCTGAGTACATCTCTGTAACAAAGTCAATATGACCTTGTGCCATAGCTTGTAATTCTTCTTGTGTTTTATTAAACCCCTAAAACATATTATTCTCTACAAACTCATTAAGTGTATTCCTCTTTGTTGGATTTAACATAGTTCTTCAAGTATAGTTTTAACTTCTTCACTACTTTATCTTTATCAACATCACCATAATAGCTTGGGGTTGTATAATAAAGCTAGATGAACTACTGTTTGATACAAACCCTTGTCTTATCTTCATTTAGACCTCCTGTAACATTACTTGTCGTTTTGTTTCTTCTTCTAACTTGTCTTTAGCTGCACCCATACCATATTGAATAGCATACATAAAGCATCCAAAGTAGGTTCTCCCACATCTTGTAAGTTTGGATCTGTTTTAAGTCCGTGCATTGCTAATCTTACATACATACCTAAATCACTATCTGTCATGGCATCTAATTCCCAACAGTTAGAGTCAAAGTATTTACCCATTATTATTCCCTTTCTAACCTGAACATTGGGCAGTTTCTACAATTACCCAATAGTGTATTTTCTAAATCTAGTTGTCTTTTCGTGATTCCATACACTACGGAAGTCAGTATATTCCAGCACATTTATTCCTGTTTCCCATACAGTATGTTTCTCACCCTCACAGAAAGAGCAAGCAAAGAACTCACCTTTACAGTTTATATATGAAGAGAACAATGAGCTTTCACAAGGCTCTACCATCACCTCTGTATGTTCTAGTTCTTTATCACCCTTTATTGCGGCTAAGTATATTGGTGCAGAGCAAGAGTCAAAACCTATTGATTACTCCTTTATCCTTAGCATAGTTAATTATATTACGATATTGTTCTAATGACAACTGCTCAAACTTACCTACTCCGTTTCCTTTAGGTTTATATCTAAGAAGTACAAGAGCATTTAGTTTAGTCTAGTCTTTCATCAGTCTTGATATCATCTATCAAACTCATTATCTGATTATATGATTTATCATGCACGATAGCATGGATATTAACTTGTGTCATCCCTCTATCGGTTAGTTTCTTTATTGTATTATATGCTTGTTCCCTACGGTGAACTGATACAGCTACTGCACCTGCTAGTTTTGCTGTCTTGTCTGCATACTCTTCTGTCATATCTAAACCATGACAAGTATAGTTTGGAATAACACCAAACTCACGACAGTATTCCATCATACGAAAGAAGTCCGGGTTTGTTCCTATATCACATAAAACCAAATGCTATCTGAGTAAGTAATCCTTTGTTTTGGATATCTCTCACACCTATTGGCTTAAGTTCTTCTAACATGCCAGCTTTGGTAGTTGATTTTATATTTACCTAGCATTGATATGATAGGTAATGATTTATCATCAAACACAATATGAGTATCTGCTACTAGGTGAAATACCTTACGGAATGTATCAAAGCTCATATTATATGTTTCTTCTACATCCCCATTACACTTGTCAACTCTCTGGGCATTTACCCATCCATTTGCCTTGGGATATCTCTAAGTCTAATATCTCTGGCATGGGTGCGTGGATTGGGTCATCTTTTGGAGTTCTACCCCCATCTCATAAACAAACCAGTCTGTTTTATTAAAGTTGTAGTTATATTCTCACTCCGAACTAATTTGATATTATTATCTTCCATTATCATAATCAGCCCTCCTATGAGAAATATTATATACTAAACTAAATAAAAGTCAACTAAAAAGAACACCCCAACTTGTGAGGTGTTCTTCTATTATAAATATAAGGTTTATGTACATCTATAAAGTTCTAACATCTTATCGTGTCCGATTAGCTTTTCAATCTCTTCAAACATCTGATGATATAGTTCACTCTTTCTCTTAGAATGTTCCATATCATAACCACCGTTCTTCATTTGATAAGCTCTTAGGTCTTTGAACTCTTTAAGTAAATCTTCTAACTCAAAGTAAGCAGCTATTTGAATACAAGCACCTGTGTGGTATTATATTCTGTTTTCTCTCTTATATCTGCTTTAAGTTCTTCAAAGCTAGCATCATCAAATGCTTCTGATAGTTCTTTTATTCTTTTGCATACTGCATTATGTTCTTCTACATTATCATCTGTTAAAGCACCTGATTTAGCTAATAGACCTTGTTTCATATCTTGTAGCATTTCCATATCGTATAATTCTGGGTCTGCTTGTAATGAAGCTAGTCTATCTTCTACTGATTCCATTTACCTTTTGAATACAGTAATACTGATATAGTTCTTTTCACCTATTTCACATTCAATCTCTTGTGTTGGAATATTTAGCTCTGACTTCATCCAATAACTCGTCTAGTTTCTTGCTAGAACTATCAGTTAATACTTGCCAATCATAATCTTCTTCATCTGCTGCATCAGATGGGTTTTCCCAATTACCCCAATCTCTTATCTGACCAAATGCGGAATGTCCGTCATCATCAAATTGGTCTTTATTTATATATCCACCACCATTCTTTCTTAGGTGTTCTAGTACTTCTTTACAAACAGTCATATTATCTTTGCCTGATGCTTGTTTTTTATCACCTTTAACTAGTTCATCTATTGTTTCATACCTTGTTCTAAACCAACTACATAGTTCTTTACTACTTCATTTAAGAACTTAGTAAACTTAGCATATGTAGGGCAGATGAACCATAGATTATCTTCTGTTGGGAAAGTAATACGAATTGAGCATTCTTGACCTTCTCTTCTTTTCTGCTCTTCTAACCCCTAAATCAACCTTACATTCAGAGCCATCATAACTATCACCATCTCTATCAGATGTAGTTAAGTCATAATCCGCGTCATCACACTCATCTCCCCAGCTTTTTAAGTTATCAACATCACCTTTGAATGTTGCAGTAGAATAAACTATATAGTTATCTTCATTAACTTCTACATCCCAAGCTACTTTAGGCTCTGACTTACCAATTCTCTTTCATAAGCTGCCTTTAAATCTTCACCTGCTGTTCCAAAAGGAGGCATCTTCAAGAGTTTACCATGAACTTCCTTATATGCTTTTTCAATATCCCATAGGAGTAGGCATTTTATCATATTCTCTATCTGGGTCTGGTCTGCTTCTGCATCTAGGAATAGTTCCCACTTATCATGGTCCTTCTTCTGGGCAAGGCATATATAAATATACATCTTCATTTCTAAGATAGATAGAAGGAGTTAGACCTCCTGCAAAATAACCCCAAGGTTCTTCCTTTTTAGGCCTTAGCATCATCAAACTTCTTCTCTTGCCTTGATTAGTTTTAACCAACCATCAATGATATCATTACCTAAGTAATCTTCTAATAGTTCATCCATCAACGTATCCATATCAGGGAAATCAGAAGTAATGAACCAGATATATTCCCCATTATCACCATTGAATGTTAAAACGACAAGAGAAACAAGTGTTATCACAGAAGATTGTTACAAGACATTCTGCACCATCTAGTTCGTATGAACTTAAATCATAATCAACATCTTCTAATGATTTATTATCTACACACTTCTCTAATCTAGCTATTAGTTCTTTTGCTGAACCTTCAAACTTCAAATCAGCTGATACATCAAATCCACCTTTATTGCTTGGTAAAGGTCTTACTTCCCATCTGCGTTTAGTTGCTTTCTCATGAGATTTATTCAATGCCATGTTTTTAGCATATTTAGCAATAGCCTTGTCCATATCAGCTTTTCTTTTGTCTGCTACTTTCTGTTTAAGTTCATCTGATATTTCAAGGAATTGTTCTAACTCTTCGTTTACTTTCTTAAACATCATTAACCTTCCTTTATAATAGTTTTCTAACTCTTCATTAACTGATTTGATTAGACCTTCTACTATGTTGTTTCTTGCATCCAAGTACTCAAATGCAAACCAATTAGATTCTTTATCATATGGTCTAAATCTTAGTTCTTGTCCATAGCTTACTTCTATATCAAATCCTATCTTGTATTCATTACCAGAAGTTGGATGAATAGCAATTATATTATCTTCATTGATTTCTGTTATCTCAAAGTTATGTACATCTGTGTTTCTCATTCCTAGCATTCTAACATGTATAGGATCTCCTAGGTCGAAACCACCAATATACTTTCCGTGACCATTACCGAACTCGTTTATTTCAACTTCACAATTCAACGGTGTTGTAAGTTCTCTGTATATAATTCCATATTAAACCTCTCTTATTAGGTAGCACCATCATCTATTGGGTCTAAATCTTCAAATGATTCTGTATCTTCTCCTAAGTGTTCTAGGAACTCTTGTACTTGTTGAACTTCTACAAAGTCATTTACCATATGTTCACCTAGCTCTTCATGATTGAAGTAAGCATCTAATCCATCAGGTAGTTGCTGACCCATCTCTCTTGCTAAGTCTTTGCAATATTCTTCATATACTTCACCTTTGATTATAATATAATATGAATACTTGATGCAAGGATATTCACCGTACATAGTTTCTATTGAACCTAGTTTAACAGCATTCTCATCATCTTCGTCTAGTATTTCTTCTCTATCTAATATCTCAATAGCTCTTTCGATAGAGATAGTTTCTATTTCCATCTAGTTCTTCTAGTAGTTGCTTGATATCCATTACTCAACTCCTTCCACCAGATGAGATATATCTCTTAAAACCAAATCAATATGATTTAGATTGAATACAGACCTACCATCTGGTCCTTTGTATAATAGCATGCCGGGTTTATACTTTATTGAGTACTCTTGTCTTACAAAGTTAGCGAATGTAACCTTGTTATTACTCTCACAAGTTGAAACGATACGAAAGGCCTAATTGAGTTAGCCCATGTTCTATTTGACTAAACTCATCTAATGCTTCACTCATTATCAATCTTAACCCAGCTAACATATTAGTTTCCTTTTACCTTGAACATTAAGTCTGCTATCCATCCATCAGTGTGAATAGCATCTAGCTCTCCCTCACACACTAAGCAACGGTCTAGTTCATCACCGTAATCAGTAACGAAAGTATCCTCTTTGCGTGCTTTATATATTGTGCCACAATCTTGGCAGTGTAGTAAATACATCTTGTTATCCTTTTATTTTAATATAAAAAGGGATTGCTTGTTAGCTTATCTTCTGTCTTGGTTTTTAACCTCGTTTAGCACCTGTCTTACATTCTTGTCTATTATTCTATCTAACATCTCTGGGTATCTGCCTATATAATATAATGATTGAGCAATTACCCACCTCATAAATATACAACCTAGCACGAAACCTATAATGAATCCTATCATAACCTCTTCCTTAAATAATCTATCCTTGCTCTTCTGTATTCAGAACCAAACTCAACTCCTTTGAACTTGGATAGATGAACTTGTACTTCTGTATCTAAGTCTGCAAGAGCTTTGTCCTCTAATATATTATACTCTTCATTTACTGTCTTTATTACTGTATCACAGTTCATTAGTCTTTCTACTGCCACACCACCATCTCTACCTGTAATGTCTGCTCTATGTAACAGTAAGACTAAATCTAGTTTATATCTGTTCTTACTCTTAAAGCCTGTGATATCGTTTATCATATCATAATGTGTTTTGAGCTGTTGGTCTAGGTATTGATAGAATCTCATATGATGTTTACAACCTAGCTTTGCCATGTCTCTATACACATTAGGTACTTTTAGTCTATCACAGAAACCATCTATACTTCCAAACCTAATTGGTCATGATTATGATGAAGTTGGCCATACTTCTTGTGTCCTTAGTTTACCAAAGTCATGGCATAAACACATAAAGTTAAGTACTGCTTGATGCTCACTAGCTAATCCTCTTGCTCTTTGTAAGCATAATATAGTAGGATTATATGCTGTACCCTCTGATGGTATTCTATTCTTTCAGGTACAGAGATTAAGTCATACACTTCGGCATGACTACTTTTAGAGCATCACATCTAGCTAGGTAGTAAATAAATCTAGGGAAATCACCATGTAAGGCTTTCTCTATCTCTTTCCATACTCTTTCAGCTGTTAAGTGAGCTAGCATACCTTTATCCACCATGGATTTCATTAGCACAATAGTTTCTTCTAGCTATCTCAAAAACCTAGTGTTGCAGCAAACCTACAAGCTCTAAGTACTCTTAGTGGATCTTCTTGAAAGTGATGACTTATATGTCTTATTATCTTGTTATCTAAGTCCTTCTTACCACCTAGTGGGTCAACTAACTTGATATAATTATAGCTATCATTAGCATCAGCTTCAAAGCACATAGCATTGATAGTGAAATCTCGTCTTACTAAATCTTCTTCTAAGGTTATATCAGGTGTAAATCTAAACTCAAAATCAGTATAACCTGAGCCTGTACTTACTTCACTTCTTGCAAGAGCATATTCATCTCTTGTTATTGGATGAAGAAACACAGGGAAGTCATTACCTACCCTTATATAACCAGCATCTAGCATATCTGATATAGTACCACCCACGACAACATAATCATTATCGTGAACTGGTTTGCCTAATAGCATATCTCGTACTGCACCACCAACTAAATATATCTTCATTGTAGTTCCTTTATAGCTTGTTTTATTCTTTCGTATTGTTTTATCTCATTAAACAGTCTTTGGTTTTCTTCTGACAATCTATCCATTGCTTCATTTATCTAACTGTCTTAACTGCCTAAGGTCATGTAGTCTTTGTTTGAGTTCTTTGTTCTCTTTAACTATACTATCAGTGTCTATACCAGTTAGATTGATTAGTCGTTTGATTGTAGCATCTTGTTCGGCTACTTTATCTTTTAACTGAATAATATACTTCTCTTTGCAACAAATAGCAATAGCCATAAATATAATGAGTGCTGTTGGTAGACCGACTGCTATGCTTACTATAATTATCTGTATCATACCTTCTTCCCTTTTAGTTCTTCTACTTGTTGTTTTAGTGTTTCAACATCATTAACTAACTGAGCAACCTTCTCTATTACTTTCTGAGCTGATACTTCTTGTATTGCTTCTGTCATTGACATTGGTTTTTTGTTTTAGTGATTTCTTCTATATCACTTAACTTTACTTCCCCACCTAGGGCTATCAATAGATGATTTATATTCATAATATCTCCTTATTTGTTTACCGTATTTGTACTCTGCTATATATTCATACTCGATCCATCTATATGTGTCTTAATGAGATAAAACAATACGAAAGATAAAAAACAAGCTATAAAGGAACTACAATGAAGATATATTAGTTGGTGGTGCAGTACGAGATATGCTATTAGGCAAACCAGTTCACGATAATGATTATGTTGTCGTGGGTGGTACTATATCAGATATGCTAGATGCTGGTTATATAAGGGTAGGTAATGACTTCCCTGTGTTTCTTCATCCAATAACAAGAGATGAATATGCTCTTGCAAGAAGTGAAGTAAGTACAGGCTCAGGTTATACTGATTTTGAGTTTAGATTTACACCTGATATAACCTTAGAAGAAGATTTAGTAAGACGAGATTTCACTATGCAATGCTATGTGCTTTGAAGCTGATGCTAATGATAGCTATAATTATATCAAGTTAGTTGACCCACTAGGTGGTAAGAAGGACTTAGATAACAAGATAATAAGACATATAAGTCATCACTTTCAAGAAGATCCACTAAGAGTACTTAGAGCTTGTAGGTTTGCTGCAACACTAGGTTTTGAGATAGCAGAAGAAACTATTGTGCTAATGAAATCCATGGTGGATAAAGGTATGCTAGCTCACTTAACAGCTGAAAGAGTATGGAAAGAGATAGAGAAAGCCTTACATGGTGATTTCCCTAGATTTATTTACTACCTAGCTAGATGTGATGCTCTAAAAGTAGTCATGCCAGAAGTGTATGACTTAATCTCTGTACCTGAAAGAATAGAATACCATCCAGAGGGTACAGCATATAATCATACTATATTATGCTTACAAAGAGCAAGAGGATTAGCTAGTGAGCATCAAGCAGTACTTAACTTTATGTGTTTATGCCATGACTTTGGTAAACTAAGGACACAAGAAGTATGGCCATCTCATCATAATCATGACCAATTAGGTTTGGAAGTAATAGATGGTTTCTGTGATAGACTAAAAGTACCTAATGTGTATAGAGACATGGCAAAGCTAGGTTGTAAACATCATATGAGATTCTATCAATACCTAGACCAACAGCTCAAAACACATTATGATATGATAAACGATATCACAGGCTTTAAGAGTAAGAACAGATATAAAACTAGATTTAGTCTTACTGTTACATAGAGCAGACATACAGGTAGAGATGGTGGTGTGGCAGTAGAAAGACTAATGAACTGTGATACAGTAATAAAGACAGTAAATGAAGAGTATAATATATTAGAGGACAAAGCTCTTGCAGACTTAGATACAGAAGTACAAGTTCATCTATCCAAGTTCAAAGGAGTTGAGTTGGTTCTGAATACAGAAGAGCAAGGATAGATTATTTAAGGAAGAGGTTATGATAGGATTCATTATAGGTTTCGTGCTAGGTTGTATATTTATGAGGTGGGTAAATTGCTCAATCATTATATTATATAGGGCAGATACCCAGAGATGTTAGATAGAATAATAGACAAGAATGTAAGACAGGTGCTAAACGAGGTTAAAACCAAGACAGAAGATAAGCTAACAAGCAATCCCTTTTATATTTAAAATAAAAGGATAACAAGATGTATTTACTACACTGCCAAGATTGTGGCACAATATATAAAGCACGCAAAGAGGATACTTTCGTTACTGATTACGGTGATGAACTAGACCGTTGCTTAGGTGTGTGAGGGAGAGCTAGATGCTATTCACACTGATGGATGGATAGCAGACTTAATGTTCAAGGTAAAAGGAAACTAATATGTTAGCTGGGGTTAAGATTGATAATGAGTGAAGCATTAGATGAGTTTAGTCAAATAGAACATGGGCTAACTCAATTAGGCTTTCGTATCGTTTCAACTTGTGAGAGTAATAACAAGGTTACATTCGCTAACTTTGTAAGACAAGAGTACTCAATAAAGTATAAACCCGGCATGCTATTATACAAAGGACCAGATGGTAGGTCTGTATTCAATCTAAATCATATTGATTTGGTTTTAAGAGATATATCTCATCTGGTGGAAGGAGTTGAGTAATGGATATCAAGCAACTACTAGAAGAACTAGATGGAAATAGAACTATCTCTATCGAAAGAGCTATTGAGATATTAGATAGAGAAGAAATACTAGACGAAGATGATGAGAATGCTGTTAAAACTAGGTTCAATAGAAACTATGTACGGTGAATATCCTTGCATCAAGTATTCATATTATATTATAATCAAAGGTGAAGTATATGAAGAATATTGCAAAGACTTAGCAAGAGAGATGGGTCAGCAACTACCTGATGGATTAGATGCTTACTTCAATCATGAAGAGCTAGGTGAACATATGGTAAATGACTTTGTAGAAGTTCAACAAGTACAAGAGTTCCTAGAACACTTAGGAGAAGATACAGAATCATTTGAAGATATAGACCCCAATAGATGATGGGTGCTACCTAATAAGAGAGGTTTAATATGGAATTATATACAGAGAACTTACAACAACCGTTGAATTGTGAAGTTGAAATAAACGAGTTCGGTAATGGTCAAGGAAAGTATATTGGTGGTTTCGACCTAGGAGATCCTATACATGTTAGAATGCTAGGAATGAGAAAACACAGATGTACATAACTTTGAGATAACAGAAATCAATGAAGATAATATAATTGCTATTCATCCAACTTCTGGTAATGAATACAAGATAGGATTTGATATAGAAGTAAGCTATGGACAAGAACTAAGATTTAGACCATATGATAAAGAATCTAATTGGTTTGCATTTGAGTACTTGGATGCAAGAAACAACATAGTAGAAGGTCTAATCAAATCAGTTAATGAAGAGTTAGAAACTATTATAAAGGAAGGTTAATGATGTTTAAGAAAGTAAACGAAGAGGTTAGAACAATTCCTTGAAATATCAGATGAACTTAAACAGTAAGTAGCAGACAAAAGAAAAGCTGATAATGGACAAGGGCTATTGCTAAATATGCTAAAAACATGGCATTGAATAAATCTCATGAGAAAGCAACTAAACGCAGATGGGAAAGTAAGACCTTTACCAAAGCAATTAAAAGGTGGATTTGATGTATCAGCTGATTTGAAGTTGTGAAGGTTCAGCAAAAGAACTAATAGCTAGATTAGAGAAGTGTGTAGATAATAAATCATTAGAAGATGTTGATTATGATTTAAGTTCATACGAACTAGATGGTGCAGAATGTCTTGTAACAATCTTCTGTGATAACACTTGTTTCTCTTGTCGTTTAACATTCAAATGGTGATAATGGGGAATATATCTGGTTCATTACTTCTGATTTCCCTGATATGGATACGTTGATGGATGAACTATTAGAAGATTACTTAGGTAATGATATCATTGATGGTTGGTTAAAACTAATCAAGGCAAGAGAAGAAGTTGATGATGCTAAGGCTACAAAGGAAGAACCTTGGGGTTATTTTGCAGGAGGTCTAACTCCTTCTATCTATCTTAGAAATGAAGATGTATATTATATATGCCTTGCCCAGAAGAAGGACATGATAAGTGGGAACTATTCCTAGATGCAGAAGGCAGACCAGACCCAGATAGAGAATATGATAAAATGCCTACTCCTATGGATATTGAAAAAGCATATAAGGAAGTTCATGGTAAACTCTTGAAGATGCCTCCTTTTGGAACAGCAGGTGAAGATTAAAGGCAGCTTATGAAAGAGATATGGTAAGTCAGAGCCTAAAGTAGCTTGGGATGTAGAAGTTAATGAAGATAACTATATAGTTTATTCTCCTGCAACATTCAAAGGTGATGTTGATAACTTAAAAAGCTGGGGAGATGAGTGTGATGGACGCGGATTATGACTTAACTACATCTGATAGAGATGGTGATAGTTATGATGGCTCTGAATGTAAGGTTGGATTATGGGTTAGAAGAGCAGGAAAAGAAGAAAGGTCAAGAATGCTCAATTCGTATTACTTTCCCAACAGAAGATAATCTATGGTTTCATCTGCCCTACATAGCTAAGTTTACTAAGTTCTTAAATGAAGTAGTAAAGAACTATGTAGTTGGTTTAGAACAAGGTATGAAACAACTAGATGAACTAGTTAAAGGTGATAAAAAACAAGCATCAGGCAAAGATAATATGACTGTTTGTAAAGAAGTACTAGAACACCTAAGAAAGAATGGTGGTGGATATATAAATAAAGACCAATTTGATGATGACGGACATTCCGCATTTGGTCAGATAAGAGATTGGGGGTAATTGGGAAAACCCATCTGATGCAGCAGATGAAGAAGATTATGATTGGCAAGTATTAACTGATAGTTCTAGCAAGAAACTAGACGAGTATTGGATGAAGTCAGAGCTAAATATCCAACACAAGAGATTGAATGTGAAATAGGTGAAAAGAACTATATCAGTATTACTGTAATCAAAAGGTAAATGAATCAGTAGAAGATAGACTAGCTTCATTACAAGCAGACCCAGAATTATACGATATGGAAATGCTACAAGATATGAAACAAGGTCTATTAGCTAAATCAGGTGCTTTAACAGATGATAATGTAGAAGAACTTAATGCAGTATGCAAAAGAATAAAAGAACTATCAGAAGCATTTGATGATGCTAGCTTTGAAGATCTTAAAGCAGATATAAGAGAGGAAAACAGAATATAATGACCACACAGTGCTTGTATTCAAATAGCTGCTTACTTTGAGTTAGAAGATTTACTTAAAGAGTTCAAAGACCTAAGAGCTTATCAAATGAAGAACGGTGGTTATGATATGGAACATTCTAAGAGAAAGAGTGAACTATATCATCAGATGTTTGAAGAGATTGAAAAGCTAATCGGACACGATAAGATGTTAGAACTTTATAGATGTACATAAACCTTATATTTATAATAGAAGAACACCTCACAAGTTGGGGTGTTCTTTTTAGTTGACTTTTATTTAGTTTAGTATATATATTCTCATAGGAGGGCTGATTATGATAATGGAAGATAATAATATCAAATTAGTTCGGAGTGAAGATTATAACTACAACTTTAATAAACAGACTGGTTTGTTTATGAGATGGGTAGAACTCCAAAAGATGACCCTATCCAAGCACCCATGCCAGAGATATTAGACTTAGAGATATCCCAAGGCAAATGTATGGGTAAATGCCCAGAGTGTTACAAGTGTAATGGGGATGAGAAGAAAACATATAATATGAGCTTTGATACATTCCGTAAGGTATTTCACCTAGTAGCAGATACTCATATTGTGTTTGATGATAAATCATTACCTATCATATCAATGCTAGGTAATATAAAATCAACTACCAAAGCTGGCATGTTAGAAGAACTTAAGCCAATAGGTGTGAGAGATATCCAAAACAAAGGATTACTTACTCAGATAGCATTTGGTTATGTGATATAGGAACAAACCCCGGACTTCTTTCGTATGATGGAATACTGTCGTGAGTTTGGTGTTATTCCAAACTATACTTGTCATGGTTTAGATATGACAGATGAGTATGCAGACAAGACAGCAAAACTAGCAGGTTGCAGTAGCTGTATCAGTTCACCGTAGGGAACAAGCATATAATACAATAAAGAAACTAACCGATAGAGGGATGACACAAGTTAATATCCATGCTATCGTGCATGATAAATCATATAATCAGATAATGAGTTTGATAGATGATATCAAGACTGATGAAAGACTAGCTAAACTAAATGCTCTTGTACTTCTTAGATATAAACCAAAAGGAAACGGAGTAGGTAAGTTTGAGCAGTTTTCATTAGAACAATATCGTAATATAATTAACTATGCTAAGGATAAAGGAGTAATCAATAGGTTTTGACTCTTGCTCTGCACCAATATACTTAGCCGCAATAAAGGGTGATAAAGAACTAGAACATACAGAGGTGATGGTAGAGCCTTGTGAAAGCTCATTGTTCTCTTCATATATAAACTGTAAAGGTGAGTTCTTTGCTTGCTCTTTCTGTGAGGGTGAGAAACATACTGTATGGGAAAACAGGAATAAATGTGCTGGAATATAAGACTTCCGTAGTGTATGGAATCACGAAAAGACAACTAGATTTAGAAATACACTATTGGGTAATTGTAGAAACTGCCCAATGTTCAGGTTAGAAAGGGAATAATAATGGGTAAATACTTTGACTCTAACTGTTGGGAATTAGATGCCATGACAGAGTAGTGATTTAGGTATGTATGTAGATTAGCAATGCACGGACTTAAAACAGATCCAAACTTACAAGATGTGGGAGAACCTACTTTGGATGCTTTTATGTATGCTATTCAATATGGTATGGGTGCAGCTAAAGACAAGTTAGAAGAAGAAACAAAACGACAAGTAATGTTTACAGGGAGGTCTAAATGAAGATAAGACAAGGGTTTGTATCAAACAGTTAGTTCATCTAGCTTATTATCAACCCAAGCTATTATGGTGATGTTGATAAAGATAAAGTAGTGAAGAAGTTAAAACTATACTTGAAGAACTATGTTAAATCAACAAAGAGGAATACACTTAATGAGTTTGTAGAGAATAATAAGTTTTATGGGTTTAATAAAACACAAGAAAGAATTACAAGCTATGGCACAAGGTCATATTGACTTTGTTACAGAGATGTACTCAGAGAAGAATATAGATTGAGAACATTACTTGTGAGTAATATTAGACCTTATGCTGATGCTGTTCAAATACAACAACTAGCTAAACGCAAAGGTGAGGACTTTCAATCACTTGATGTCATATATGATAAATATAAAGAGTACCACAATCCGATATCAGGGGAATGGGAAGTATCAGAAACATATGCAAGAGTGTTAAAAGCTAAGAGCTTGCAAGATATTATCAATATCTGTGATGAAATAATGGAAGAGTTCAGCGATAAGATAGGATTTGACCTATTAGATTATTTCTCAAGGAATGCACTGAACAGTGATGCTGTTGTCTTAACTGATAGTTATGATAACTACATACCAGAATGGATTAGCTCACAAGTTAATTAAGCACTATTACATAAACGATTACTGTTTCACCATATGGGGTAATACTATGAAGATAAAGAAACGGTTTTGTATTCAAACAGCAGTTCATCTAGTTTCTTAATAGCACTAGATAAACCAATACAGGATTACAAGGACTTTGAAGAGTTCGCTGAAGAGTATGATGTTAATAACTTATATGGTGAAACATTATATAGAGATTTGCAGACAGCTGAGGCTAACTTAAAAGAGTATATCAAAGATATGGATGTGTTCATAGATTCTGATTTAGATATAGATGTTCTTGGTTTTGATAAATCAAATGAAATTGTAGATGAGTGTGCTGAGTTCTTTAAACAAAGAGTGTTGGAAGAAGTAGAGAAACAATTAGGCAAGGCTCAATATCGAGTATAGTCTATGAAGATAGCTCTGAATTTGGTTCTTATATGGAACATCCATTTTGTGCCTGAATTTCGTGGTACAATAAGCAGTACAAGTCAATCACTAGGAGAGATTATGAAGATAAGAGCAGGTTTTGGTATCTAATAGTAGTAGTTCTTCATTTATGTTAACTTAGAGAAACCAATACAAGAATATACCAAAGAGGAACTAGCTAAGTATCTTAACACAGAGAATGAAGTAGCAGTAGAGCTGATATATGACTTATGTCTGAAAGAAGAACCAGATACTGAATACCACTTGGTTGTGGGTCAAGATGAAGAGCCTCCAACTTGGGATGCTGAGAATGTATTATTAGACTTGAGTGAAACAACAGATAAAGCATATTGTATTTATTATCATTAGTTCGAGTATAATAATGTAGGAGGCTGAATTATGAATTAAGAGATGGATTTGTGAGCAACAGCTCAAGTAGTTCCTTTATCATAGAGATAAATCTAAGTTTGATGAAGTGATATCTTTATTACATTATGACGATTACTATATCTATAATGATGTATTATATACTACATTCGTTAGTGATGGATGTGATGAATATGGTGATTTATGCAAGTTAGCAGATGAACAAGTATATGGCGGGCATGGCTATCCATATGATGAAACACAGTTTATCGAAGTAACTGGTGTTAAGGGTGAAACTGTTTATATTGATAAATATAGATTAACAGATGAAGAAAGAATAGAACTAGGCAAGGACTTTAAAGCAAGAGTTAAAGCAGAATTATATGATTACATACTTGAAGCAGATGTTGATACAGATGACTTAGAGAGTTTACAAGACTTCTACCAAGAATGTATAGATATTATAGAAGGAGATTAAACTATGGCAAAGTTTAGAATGGGTGGTGAGGTAGTAGATTTAAAGTTCTCTACTTACACAAACGGAACACTGACTGCAATGGCTTATGATGAAGATGGATATACCTATGCAGTACTATCAAAGAACCTAGTAGATGAAACACCTACTAATGAGTATTGTGTATTCATTGATGAGAACAATCTAGGAGAATACAAATGTTATTGATACACTAATCAATAAAGGTTATGGGAAACCAACTGGTGGCTATGGCTTGAGTGGTTTCTGTATCTACCCAGGTTTGAGTTCAACAAAGATATCGTTACTAATAACCAACTAGTTGAGGAGGAGTTATTTGTTAGGAAAGACAGTTTATACCGTAGAGGTTAGTGGTACAAAGTACGAAGTAATAGAGAATAAAGTAGTATCTGAAAGCAGAACAATCCGTGAAGTATCTACACCATTCTCAAACGGTAGAGAGGTAATAGAAGAAACTTATGCAATCAAACCTACTTGTTATAACAATAGACCATACAGGTAGGTCTAATGTATCAGTTAAAGAGTTATATACTCACAAGATGATGGCAGAAGAAGTATGTAATATTAAGAATGCAGAACTAGCAAAACAACTAGAAGAGAAAGAGGCGCCAATACCAAAGAGAACTATGGGAAGATGCTGAGGCTAAGTTCTTATCATTCAAAGCTAATAGCAAGTCTTGGAGTAATGTAGAAGAATTAGAGAAAGTAATTATAGAAGCATTTAAAACTGATTTAATCTCAATCAAAGATGACTTCTATAAAGCAAAAGGGTGGAATCTAGACCAGAGATTAAATTGGAAGATTTACTTAGACGTGGAATAACAAGATAAAGGAGAAAACATTATGTTTTTATGTGTGATTGTAGCATTAGCTGTTGTAGTAGCGTTTACAGCTTATTTGCTATCATTAAGAAGAGTTGTCCAACAAACGAGGTACACATTGTACAGAAAGACAGAAAGACCGTTTCATACGGTAAAGATGCACAAGATGGTATTGGCAATACTTATTATAAGATACCAACTTGGGTACCAAAACTAGTGTAGTAGTATCTGTATTACCTACAACTATTATTGATGTAGATATTCCGGGTTATGAAGCATATGACAAAGATAGATTACCATTCGTAATTGATATCAAAGCATTCTTCAGAGTATCTAACTTCAACTTAGCAGCAAGTCGTGTTTACTCAGTACCTGAGCTAAAAGAACAACTAACATCTATTGTTAAAGGTGCAGCTCGTTCTATCTTAGCTAAGGAAGATTAGAGTTAATCATGTCAGAAAGAAACAAATACCGGTGATATGTTTACAGCTCTTGTAACTACTCAACTAAAAGAATGGGGTGTAGAGGCTGTTAAGAACATAGAAACTTATGGATATCCGTGATTCACACGATTCAGTTGTTATTGCTAACATAATGAAGAAGAAGAAATCACAGATTGAAATGGAATCTAGAAAGGACAGTTGCAGAGAACTTACAGAAAGCACAAGAAGCTGAATTCTTAGCTAAGCAAGAGATTGAATTGAAACAACAAGATGCAGAAAGACAAGTTGGTCTTAAACAGGCTGCTGTTGCACAAGAAGTAGGTATTGCAAACGAAAACAAAGACAAGAAATCCAAGCAGAGGCTAAAACAACAGCTGAGAAAGAACTGGAAGTAAAACGAGTTCGTGAAATCCAAGCAGCTGAAATTGAAAAACAAGCAGCAACAGTAAAAGCACAACAAGATAAAGCAGTTATTGAAGTTGAAGCTGAGGCTAGTATCACTAAGACTGAGGCTGAAAAGAAAGTAGCTATCTTGAATGCAGAAGCAGAAAAACAAAGAGTAATCTTGAATGCTAATGCTCAGAAAGAACAAATAGAACTTGATGCACAAGCAAGAAAGACACAAACTGAGTTGAAAGCAGATGCAGACTTGAAAAGCAGCAACTAATGAGCTAAGGGTATCAAACTTAAAGGGGAATCAGAGGCTAATGCTCGTGAACTTATGGGAAAAAGCACAAGTAGCAGGTCAAATTGAATTATCCGAAAAGATTGGTGAAAACCAAGAATATCAAGACTTCGTTATCAAACAAAGACAAGTTGAGGCTATGGAAGCTATCGGTGTTGAACAAGCTAAGAACCTTGCTAATGCAGATGTTAAAATCTATGCAACAAGCAGGTAGTGTATCAGATGGTGCATCAGCAGCTGGTAAAGTGTTTGCACCTAAAACAGGGCTTGATTTAAGTTCTATGTTAGATGCTTTTGCTAATACAGAGATTGGTAAATCAGTTGCAGATAAGCTGTTGAAAAAGGGAGAATAGAATGGAAGCACTTAGAGAGTTAGAGGCTCGTTTAGGGCTTAGAGAACTTAACTTTCATTCTAGTAAGGTGAAAGAGGTGGAGGAAACTCCACCTTTACCCCAAGCTAATATAGTTGAGGAAGTAAATTATAAGATGAATGTCAATAAGCTATTCCAATTAGCTAAGAGCTGGGGTATATCAATTCAAAAGGTATCTAAGGCATATCAGAAAGTATATGATATTAGAGAGGCAACTACGGATACTACTCTAAAAGCATATTGTGAAGATATACTTAGTGAAATGCAGGATGGTACAATAAGTTTAGATGATTATAACATGAGATTATATACGATTCGTAAGGTGGTGTCAGAGAAATGCTTGATAAACTTAACACAGTGCAATCAATAAGACAATATGTAATTAAAGAGATGACAGCAAGGAAGTGTGGCTTAGTGGAGATACAAGAGTATCAAAATCAAATCAAAGGTTGTGATTATTGGACAATGAGACAAGTATCTCAAGAGTATCTTGATATGTTACAACTACTTCCTAGTTAGGAGAGGTAATGTTTAAAACACTAGGTATAGAACCTATCCAATTATCAGGATGTGAGTTTGAGAACCTTTATAGAGTGGGAATAGAACATGGTACTGATGTTTGTATTCATACAGAGGGTGATACCAAATGTACCGATTGTAAATACGGTAAGATTGAAGATGAGTATTACCCAGAAGTACCTGATACATTCTATCTAATCGTTATAGCCCTACTAGGCTCTCGTGGTATATCAGTATATGGGAGTTCAGTAAAAGAGATTAAAAAGCATGTAGAAGATGCTATAGATATCCTTGACTTTAATAATAAGACATATCTTAGAGATTGGATTTATGATAACATAACAATACAAGGCAGACCATGGAGGTATTATGTGGAACGCAATAAGCAAGTTATTTAAAGATGAAAGAGAAGAAACAAGGGCACGAACAATCAATGATGTTTATGCAGATATGTGCAGAGAACAACAAAAATATAGAGAAGAAACTATAAGGCAAATGAGAGCTGTAGATGACTTGGATGAGCTAGAGTGTCTTAAAATAATAGCACGAGCCGCCATCAAATACATGCGTAGTTAATATAAGGAGATTAGATGAAGATTACGACAAGAAGTGCTATTGTAGTATTAGGATTGATTACTTGTGTATCTATCTGTACAACAGCATCAATGGCTAGATTATTCACGAAATCGTTAGCAGAACAAACACAACAGTTCACAGAGATTATGACATCAACAGAACCTGATGTCCTAGAAAGTGATTTACCACACAAACGATTAGGTAAGTTTACTTTATCATGGTACTCACCAAAGGAACTAGGTAAAGAAAGACCAGACCAATTAAGAACATCAACAGGTAAAGTGCCTGTATCTGGTAAAACAATAGCAGTAGATCCTAAGATTATACCTTATGGTAGTATCATTTACATTCAAGATTATGGCTATTTTATAGCAGATGATTGTGGTGGTGCAATTAAAGGGAATAGAATAGATATATTCACAGCATCACATAGTGAAGCAATCCAAAACGGTAAGAAAGTAGCTAATGTATATTTATTGAGGTAATAATGAATAACTTTGAAGCAATTACACAAGAACCAAAGAGAATAGCTGAGTTCTTTGCAGAGCATATGGAATGCCGTAACTGTATATGTAAAGAGTACTGTGAAGAGCATTATGATGCTGAGCAAGACAGCTACTGTGCAGAAACAATATACGATTGGTTCATGGAAGAATACAAGGAGATGGGATGAGAGTACTCATAGGTATTATAATAGGGTTAGTGATTGGTTGGTTATTCCCAATAGAAGGACCATTTGATTATGTATATGATGATTATGCAAGCCAACCAGCCCACAAGCATCCTGTTGTTGCACCCGCACCAAAGCTAGTTCCTGAATTTAATCCAGAGATTATGGAAGAGTTAGATGAAGAATGGGAACGACAGCATGGCTTGGAATTAAATGGTAGTATGAACTAAAAGATAGACGACTTCTCAGTTATAGGGAAGTCGTTTTATTATGAAAAGAAATAGTTGACTTTATTATTTCAATATGATAATATCTTTCTTGTTAAGAGTAAGTCCACGAGACTATAAAAGAAAGGGAAAGATTATGGCAGTTAAAACAAAGGAAAAGAAGGTAGAAGTACCTAAGTTAAGTAGGGATAGAATCCTAGAATTGATTGGTGAAATGGATACCAAACTAGCAATGGTACCAAAGTACTCTAAAAGAGATTTGAAGATGTTTGCTAGCTTGACAGACATGGAAGTTAGAGATGCAGTAGATGATTATTATGCAGCTCAAAACGGTAGAATTAGAGTAGAAGGCAAACTAAGAGCTTACCAAAAAGAAGTAGATGACGAAGGTATTTATAGCCTATACTTGAATATGCAATTACAAAACCAAATGGTAATGGAGTCATTAGCTAAGGATGTATTAACTATCTTTGTTCAGAATCATAAAGCAGCAGCTTGGTTTGATAAAGTAAAAGGTTTAGGTCCTATTATTTCAGCTAATCTTATTGCTAATATTGATATACACAGAGCTAAATCAGCTGGTCAGATTATTAGTTACTTTGGTTTGGCAGACCACAAAAGACCTTGGTTAGGTTCAAAGGTAGTAACAGAAAGAGTAAACTCAGTTCTTGGTAGTAAGAAGAATAAAGATATTACTTATGAAGATTTCTGCATGTGTTGTAACTTAACTAAGTGGAAACCAGAGAATGCTATTGAAGCCACTGACTTTGACGGTAATTATATCTTCAAGAAAGAGAATATGAATACAGGTGAGGTTGAATATACTTTCACGAAAGATAAGATTATCAGAACACTATCTAAACGACCATATAATGCTAAAATGAAGAAAACAATGTGGTTGTTAGGTGAATCATTTATTAAGGTACAAAATAAACCAGATGCTTTCTATGGTAAGTTATTTGCAGAAAGAAAAGCAGAAGAAACAGCTAGAAGTGAAGCTGGTGAGTATAGAGAACAAGCCTTGAAAAGAGCACAAGAAGTAGGTAAAGAAACTGAGGCTTACAAATACTATATAGAAGGTAAGTTACCACCTGCTCATATTATTGCAAGAGCTAAGAGATGGGTTAATACTATCTTCTTAAATCACTTGCATGAAGTATTGTGTAGAGTAAACGACCTACCAGTATCAGAACCATACATCATAGCACAAGGTGGTCATGTTCATAAGATAGACTGCCCATACTTAGATGTTTTATAATATAGGAGAGGGTTAATCCCTCTCCCACCTTTGTACTTTGAAAATATGAGTGAACTAACAGCCTAGAGATACTAGCAGCATCGACTGAACTACTAGGACAGATATGCTACATGTTGAGATTGAACTACTGTGATAGATACACTAACTTTACTGAATGAACTATACTGACTGATATACTAGCGATAGGAACTGAACTACTAAAATAGACATATTACACCTATGGACTGAACTATTTACTTAGGCATGCTAAAAACGAAGAATGAACTAAGCATGTCGAAATACTATCTCTAAAGACTGAACTAGACGGTCAGATATACTATATTGTTAAAATGAACTAAACTAATTGAAAGCCTAAGGAAGGAAAATGAACCATAGAAGATAATATACTATCTGTAAAGACTGAACTAAATTTAGGGAAATACTATACTCTGGTGAATGAACTATCTATTTCGACATACTACACACCTAGAACGAACCAAAAGCCACGATATACTATAAGAGCTGAGTGAACCAAATGACTGAAGATACTATTGAAAAGGAATGAACTACAAAAGGTGATATACTACATTAAAAGAATGAACTACCCGCTAAGATATACTAACCAATCGGACTGAACTACAAAAAGTGATATACTATATTAAAGAACTGAACTAATCAATAAGATATACTATTTATGATGAATGAAACTATGTCAGAGAATATACTAATAGATATGAATGAACTACAAAAAAGAATAAACTATGGGAACTGAATGAACTATATTGGAGAATATACTAATTGATATGAATGAACTACACAGTAAGAAACACTAGACCCAAAGACTGAGCTAACGATTGCAATATACTATACTCATTGAACGAACTACTAGAATAGATAACTTATAGAAGGAAACTGAACTAACGGGTGAAATATACTAAACCAAATGACTGAACTATTGAACATGCTATACTAAGATGTTGAAATGAACTATTATTCTTGATATTCTATGTGGGGCGACTGAACTAATCATTATGATATACTAGACATACTGAACGAACTATTAAGCATGATATACTATGTGCAGAGAATGAACTAGTTATTGTGATATACTAAGTATGATAACTGAACTATCAATGAAGATATACTATAACCTTAGAATGAACTATACTACAAGAAACTCTATTATTGACGAATGAACTACCGACCGTGATATACTAACTGCTCAGAATGAACTATGATATATAAGATACTATGAGTATAGAATGAACTAAGATCGAGTATAATATAATAGGAGATTACCTATGCAATTATACGATTACTTTGATGTAGTGGATGGCAAGTATGTTTTCAGGGTAGGTAAAGACCTTGATGATGAACTTGCTAAATCCATACTAATAGACCATAGAGCTAAACATAGAGAACTACAAGCTGATGCTTGAGATTATAGCAGACTTTGATGTACTATGCCCTCAAAAGGATAGAGAACTAGACAGCAAGGTAGCTCTATTATATGAAAACATAACAAAGGAGATAACTAATGACCTTCTATAAAGAGTTTGAAATAGAGAAAGTAGAATACCGTACTCCCGGCAGAGATTGGGATGATGAGGGTTTAGCTAGTTGGTATGTAGAATATGACTACCCTGCTATATCAGGTGATGTATTCTTTGCTTTACTAGACTTGTATAGTTATTGGTCAAGTGATAAGTTCTCTTGTTTCTGCACTCAATCAGAGTTAGTTGAAACATTAAAAGAACAGCTACTTAAACTCCTACACAGCCTAGGAGAAGAACAAGCTAAGAGTTTAAAATCAGCTGTGCAAGATATAATAGCAAGTTATGGAGTAGAAGATTGATATACGACTTATCCATACTAGATAAATATACTGATGAAGGTCTGCTTAGAAGAGCAGAAGATAAGGATTTGGTACAATATAACTATACCGAATATTGTAATAACCAAGGTCTTTGGGATGAAGTTACTCTGTTCAATCGTGGTAATATCTATGAGAAGAAAACAGGTAAACTCATAGCTAAGGCTATGCCTAAGTTTATGAACTTCTCTCAATATTCAGAAGAAGAGCAAGCTCACTTTCTAAATCATGATATAGAAGTATATGAGAAGAAAGATGGCTGTCTTGGTATACTTTATATGTATAATGACGAGATAAGATGTAACTCTCGTGGTGGGTTTGATAATTATGTAACAGATAAGATTAAACAGTTACTTCCAAAGTATGAGATGTTACATTGGCTGCTTAAACACAATACAATGAATGTAGAAGTAATATCCCCAGAAACAAAGATAATATGTGATTATGGTGATGAAGAAGAATTATACCTACTTACAGCATTTAATTATGAGCATGAAGAGCATACAAGAGATGTATTAGATATAATGAGTGCTGTTGCAAGGATGCCACAACCTAATAAGGAAATAATGACTTGGGAAGAGTTATTCAAGTGGCAGAAAACATCTAACTGGGAGAAAGAAGGATTTGTAGTATCTATTCCTACTAGAAAGTATGGTGCATACCAAAGAGCTAAGATTAAGTCAGAAGATTATATGAAAGTAGTTAGTTTCAAGGCTCATTTGAATAAACATACCTTATGGGATAATATGAGAATAGATATGGAACAAAACACTAGCTTCTTATCTGAATATGAAGATAAGATGCCAGATGAACTTGTCCAATTATATAAACAATACAAAGCAGAATTAGAACAAGCACTTGAAGATAAGAGAGCTGAGGCACAAGCTGTATTTGAAGAAGTAAAGGATATACCTACAAGAGAATTACATAGTTATTTTGTAGAGCATCCTACTGTATTCATGCCAGCAGTTTATAATATGAGAAACGGAAAACCGATAGATAGAGTTTTAATTAAAATGATAGAACCAAAAGCAGGGACTATCGTGGAGGATTTTGATGATAAAGAAGATAGAGAAAGCTGAGCTATTATTGAAAGAGATAGCAAATGACTTATTACAAGAGTTGGAGAATAAAGGAATACCTAGTAATAAAGATAGCATAGACAAGCTATCAGATATGACAGATAGACTAAGTATGTATAAAGAGATATACAAAGAGCTAACAGATATAACTAGCTTAAAGGAAATGGTCCGTAATGAGGTAGCTATGCAGATAAGACAAGTAGCACCACCACACTCACAACCTGAATGGTTTGGACCACCTAAGAAGAATTGGATGACAGATGTATATTGCTAAAAGGAGAATAAAGGGATGAATGAGAGTACAAAAGACCAAATGATAGAACAACTACAAGTTGAGATATCAGGGGCAAAAGGATTATTGAATGAGATTGTAAGTTTGACAGACTTGTTTATGCCAATCTTAAAACAACTACCTCAAACAGATAAGAAAGTATTGTTAGAGTTAGAGAAGAGAATGGATATAGTCAAGATGGCTTTGGCTATGGATAGACAATCAGCACCTCATATCGTACAATCTCTAATGTAGATTTAATTCCATATCATTACAGACCACTCTTCAAGGGGTGGTCTTTCTCTTTATCTTCTGTATGAACCAAACTCCCTAGTAGTTATTCCCAACTCATATCTTACCTTATCATTTGGATAGTTTTTAATTAGTGGTTCATAATACTCATCACATGCTTTAAAGTTGTGTTGTTCTGCTATTTGGTATGTTTCCAGTAAGGTTTTATATTCTAAGGTATCTTTATTTACTAGTTTAAGCACCTCTTTAAATCGTTTTAAATTATAATCTTCTATTTGTTCAGCATATCCATAATACATGTTTTTAATAAAAACACAGATGATAAAACATAAGTTATCTCTCACTTGTTTTGTGTATCTAAATCTAGGGTATTTATCTATAAAGTACCTCATTGTGTTTAAGTCATATGCTACATCCTTTGGTGGTAGTAGTGCATCTATTTCATATTGGCTCATTCTTTGTTCTTGTATCTTTAAATAGTCTTGCCAAACAATGGGCAAGTCTTTGCTGTACTTCTGTAAGTACGGACTATTTATGTCTACAATTTCCCATTCATTATGAGCAATATAGAAGAGATGTACATCTTCTACTGCCAAGGTGTTCGGCTGTCTTTCAGTTACAAAACTACCATCTAACTGCTGTAACAATATCTGTCTTTGCTTTTGTAATTGTTTATAGAACTTGGGAAAGTTATTCTTTATATCCCCATCATATAATTGACTTTCTATCTGTTCAACATGCTTTATGGTCCTAGCGGCAGGCGTGTCTAGTTTTAGATACTCACCATCATATCTATACTCAGCAAAAGCAACATTAGTTGTTAATAGTAATAATATAATCAATCGTTTCATATTTATATTATACAATACTATCCATTAAAGTCAACTATTGTATTGGTTGACTTATACTTATAACTATAATATATTAAGAGATAGAGAGCATTGAGTTTATATTAAAATAAACGGAGGAAGAATGAAACATATAACAATACTTGGGAAACTAGAAACCAAGTTTCTGGCTGACTTTGATTCTGATACAGAAATATGGTCAATGAATAGCCATGCTGATGAAGATATGATACCAAGAGTAGATAAATGGTTTGACATTCACCAAGAACCAACAAGGGAGAAATCAGATTATACAGTAGATAACTTCCCTTTTGAAGAATGCCACAACTTAGTACATGGTCGTAGGTTCTGTACAACTGCTGCATACTTAATAGCCTTTGCTATATTACAAGGTGCAGACAAGATTAGTTTATATGGTATGAGATTTACACCAGACCACCCAAGAAGAGCAAGAGAGTTACACAATGTTCGTGAGATGATATTCTTTGCTTGGGGAAGAGGTGTAGAAGTAGAAGTACCAGAAGATAGTGAGTTTCTAATTCCTGAGCATATACCAGATGACGGTCAAGACTTTGACCAATAGAGTATAATATAATAGGGAGGAAACGGATGCGTTGTACTATATTTAACTCAATAGGAAGAGATGTAGCAGAGTTTCTGCAAGATTTAGAATCAAGAGTAGAATTATACATAGTAGGTGGTGCATTAAGAGATTGTTTAGACAATAGACCATTCAATGACCTAGATATTGTATTTGTAGGAGACTATACACCTAAAAGAGCAGAGATAAACTGTTTTGGTGGATACAGAATACCTTTCAAGGATACATATGTAGATTTATGGAAACTAGGTAATACTTTTGGGTTTAGAAAGGGGATACCTTATACAAAACCAGAGGACTTTCTTAAAACACCATTCCTTAATATAGATAGTATAATGTATGATTGGCAGACAGAAGAGTTTGTAGGTAACAGTGATATATTATACAAGAACATAAAGGAATTAGATGTAGTAGCTTGTTTCTCAGAGGTGGTAGAACTCAACAAGCTAAGGGCTTTTAGGTACATTAAGAAGTACAATCTAGGAATGTCAGATAAACTAAAGGTTATCTTTCAGAAGAAGTGTGATATACTAAAACTACAAGAAGAACATTATGGGGATAACTACCTTATAAAGTCTGATGTTGAACTCATAGAGAACTTATTTTTAAATTAAAATAAAAGGAGAAATATAAAGATGGATGTTAAAGAACTAATTGAACAATTCGACAATTTCATCGGAAATGCTGAATTGGGAGAAAAAGAAGGACAATCAGTAGAAGATTTCCAAGAAGGTTTAGCTGACGGACAAGATGATTATGAAGAAGATGATGAGTTAGGTCTTTATATCATAAATGATGGTGATATGTACCGTAAGTACTCACAACCTGCACAAGATGATATAAGAGCAGGTAAAGAAGCAGATTGGGAAAAGATAGCTAAAATCGGTTCTGGTAAGTACTGCAAAGAAATCGAAAAGAGAGACTTCTCTGATGAAGAAATCAAAAAGACAGCTGAGTATATTAAAGACTATTATGAAAGAGATTTGAAAGAATCATTATCACCAGCTCAATCTTTAATCAAAGAATACTTTGATGATGAAGAAAACGAATATGAAATCATATTTGACAATCTAGTTAATGGTAACTTATCTGATTATAGAGAAAAACTTAAAGAGTTACAAGACAATGGTGAATTAAGAGCTTATGCTGATTATTGCCAAGAGATGGGCTGGGATCCACAAATCGAAAAGTGGGCAGATAACAGAGATGGCAACCCAGAAGAAGAAGATTATGAATATATCTATTCTTCATTAGTTAATGGTAATATCTCACAATATAAACAACAACTTAAAAGACTACAAAAGAATGGTCAATTAAGAGATTATAAAGCATTCTGTGATGAAATGGGAGTAGACCCAAGAGTAGGTCGTTTCCTTGAATCAGCTTCTAAGTCAGCTGAATTGATTGAACAGTATGAGGCTAACGAAGGCTTGGGGGAGTCTAAATCTCGTGAGATGAATGAAATCTCACTAGAACTAGCTGATGAAGTTAGTGCTAAAAGACAAATGGATGTTTTGAAGGCTGAATTAAGTGGTGATGAAGAAGCACTTGAACAAGCTGAAAAGAAAGCTAATAAGAATATTGAACTAGCTAAGAGATGGAAGAAAGCAAAGGGAATTAACGAAGAAGTTGTAGCTAAATATGACGAAGGCAAACACGAAATCGTTAAGTGTGATAAAGGATATTATAATAGATATAATATCAAAGAAGGTAAAGCAACATTTACATCTAAGTGTGTAGAGAGCTTACCAACAGCTATAACAGCATTGAAAAGAAGATTCCCACAGGCAGAGGAAGTTAAATAACGGAAAGGCTTTAATTAGCCTTTCCTTTTAATGGGGGAATAAATGGAAAGTATTGATGTATTTGATACAGCAGTATTTAGGGATGTCTATCAACCTACGGATATATTTAAACTAGTAGAAGAGAAAGTAGGGAAAGGGTTTGCAAGATTGAGAGTAGAGGCTGAGAGTAAAGCAGCTTCTATTCAGCGTTTCTATACTATTAAAGACATATATAGACACCTTGCAGGATTTGACCCAAACATTGAAGTTGAGATGGAACTAAATCATGTATATGCTAATCCTACAATGCTTGAAATGTATAATAAGAACCCTAATAACTATGTATTCATATCTGATATGTACTTATCAAGTAAGACCATAGTACAGATATTAGAGAAGTGTGGATATAAGAACCCAAGAGTATATGTATCTTGTGAAGAGAAATGTAACAAGGGTTCTGGTACTCTATTTGAAAAGGTACAAAGAAGAATAGGCAAGATAGATAAACATTATGGAGATAATTACCGTTCTGATATAGAGGGTGCACACAAGCAAGGTATTCCGGGTGTATTTTATCCAGCATTACATAAAAGACCACTCAATCTACCAGCTGTTAAATCTCCTTTGTTAAAGAAGTATGCAGCAGCTCTTGAAGTGAGTGAAGAAAGACCACTAACTAAACTAGCTAAGTGGTATGCACCTTTAATATATGAGTTCACAAAGTGGGTAATATCTAAAAGGAAACCGGGGCAACATATATACTTCTTATCAAGAGATATGTTTATGCCTTACTTAATCTCTAAGAGAATGCTACATGAAAGAGATGTACATTATCTATATTGTTCAAGACGCTCACTTGCACCGTTATTCATAGCAAGTGGTGAGAAAACATTAATAGATAAGATGCACATAGTCTTGACAGATGAAGAGTACAAAGCTAAAACAAACAAAGAAGAATGTATGAACTATCTAAGAAACTCAGGTATCCGTAATGGTGATATTATTGTAGATATAGGTTATTCTGGTTCTACACAGAGGATAATAGAGAAGTTCTTGAATATTAAGTTAAAAGGATTATATGTACAGCTAGACCAAGCATTGAACAAAACAATGGATATGGAAATGTACCTTAATCGTTATGCTTTGACCTATCGCTTCTTAGCAGAGTTTATATTCACATCTCCTGAGGATAATATAGAAGATTACAAGAATGGCAGTGTTATAACAACACCAGACCATGCTCAAAGGAAAGAGTATGCTAAACATATCAACTCTATTATATTAAATGATAAGCTGTTTAGACGATTAGATAGAATGAACTTGTCAGTGTTTGATGTAGAGCAGATGTTAATACATATACAAAACTATCCAAGTTATGAAATGATGTGTTTGTTCAACGAACCTATCTTGACAAACAGAGAGAAGGTAGAAAGAGGGATTAACTTTGATAGGAATGCAATATTAAGAGGAAGATTACAAGATTGTTATAGAAAGTCATATGCTAAACCATTATTCAAGAAGATGTTAGAACACGACACAGAACTATCTTGTTTAGTTAAATTACTACCGTAAGGAGGAAGAGATGAGAGTAGAGCCAGTAGATACTAAAATAGTTTTTAAGAAACACTTGAAAAGTCAACCAATTCGTGATATGATAGATCCGTTACCACCAAAAGACCCATTTGGACCAAAGCAGCCAGAAGGTATCTTGAAAGTGGACTATATGGCATAATTTTATATTAAAATAAAAGGATACGCTTATGGAACTATTAAGATTACAAGAAATGCTAGACCAAGCATTATGTGAAGAAGAAGAAGTTAAAGATGAGAGCTTGGAGAAGCTAGCATTAGATACACTTAAATTGTATGAGTACTCTGCGTTGATACCACTGCTT